TTTAATTAAGCAATCAAACTTGATTTGCACTTAGATAAAACCTTGAAATAATTAACAGTTTCAGTAGCACTAATATAATGATCTTTTAAATGTTGTCCTATGTTATCTTTACTGTGCATAATCATTTCATATTTAAAATAGAATTATTTAATCAATCAGTAACTTGTGTTTTTTTTAATGAAATTAATGATTTTCTTTAAAAAGATGCTACCCAAGGCGAGACTTTTTTTATACCTTGTTTGACGAACTCGCTGACTATTGTACTTTTTACTGTACTGTATATATATGTATTCCTACTAAAAAGTTTCTAATACTAATTTAACAGCATCTTTTTTAATGCATGCAATGTTACTATTTTTAAAAAGTTGCTTTGTAAGTTACAGTATTGTAACAAAAACTAATTTATTTTAGTTCTCAAATATGCATATTCTTTATATTGATTTATTAATTAATTAAATTTTTGCTACAGGGTATTTTACAGCATTTATTTATTTATTTATTATTATTTTTTTTTGTCTTGAATTTTATAATTGAGGGCCATTTTTTATTTCTTGTTTCAATTCTTGCTTATACAGTATTTAAATATTTGAATATTTAAAAAAAAATATATCATTTCTATTACCGAATTTTTCATTGGGGCCATTTTTACCTACCTGTCATATGGGGCCATTTTTTCCGGGGCCATTTTTTCTGGGGCCATTTTTTCCGGGGCCATTCTTACCTACATTCTTCTGCCACACTCACTTCCAAACAGTCTCTTTGCATAAGAAATGGAAACTGTACTGTGCATGTGTCAGAAATGTAATGCTGTATGGGAGTGAGACCTGGGCAATAAAGGAGGGGGACATGTGTAGGCTTGAGTGGCAACTCTAGGATATAATTTGTGGGGGGGCTAAGATGTCCAACTGGGGGGCCCTAAGTATTTATGGGTGTAACTATAGCACGCAGCGTTATCTGAGGGCCGAAGGCCAGAGCCAGGGGTGGGTATGGGAGGAGGGTGTCCCCTTCTCGCAAAACAAGATTTAAAAAAAAATTGGGACTTCTTGATGGCCGGAAATGGCTGTGATGGGAAAATTAGACCTATTTTTTTTTTTTGTCCGACTGCCCAACAAGCTTTGGCCGATGGGGTGGGGGCTTGACCAGACCGATGGGGAGGGGGCTTAAGCCACCCTGCTAGCGCTGTCACTGGGCTTGACAAAAATTAGATGAAAAATATTAAGATGGATGTGCCATGTTAGCCTGAAAGACAGACAGACTTCACAAGAACTCAGGGATTGACTTGCCATACAAGGTATCAGGTATTGTGTGCAGTCCGGTAGACTACGTTGGTTTGGTCACATTGAAAGGATGGAGGCAGATGACTGGGTTAGCAGATGCAGAAGTATGGAGGTCGAAGGTATTAGAGGTAGAGGTAGACCCCAGAAAACATGGGAGGAACTTATTCAAAGCGACCTTAGGGGAAAACGTCTAACCCGGCAGTTAGCTCTGGACAGCGGAGCTTGGAGATCTGCCTTCAAATGAAGAATGGTCCAACCCATTACCAAAATGGAAAAGGACTTGAACCGTATATGATGATCATTTTGAGCGGTCAATTATTACTTTTTATATTTTTTTCCAAAAGGGGGGGGGGGAC